GGCCCAGGCCCGTTCATTCCAAATTTCGCTCCGCGTATACGGGAGCGTTTTCAGGAAGTACTGGTGGTTTAAGCACTTTGGTCACCTAAGTTTCTTGCTACTAGACATATCCCATTTTTCACTTATTTTCAAAGATTAGTGCCAAAATATAAGCGCTTTGTTCACCCAAGAGAGGAAAAGAAAGGGAAATAAGAAGAAGGAAGAAGAGAGCAAAACGGAGACGTATAGACGGAGACTGGAGAGGGTTAAGAATAGGATAGGAAGACAGACTGGAAGAATAAGAGAGTCAGTCTGAGGGGGAGGGCAGACAGACTGGAAGAATAAGAGAGTCAGTCTGCGGGGTTGGGCATAAAACCAAAAAAAAAAAAAAAAAAAAAGAGGTAGAGAAAGAGGAAACGAAAGTCAAGAGACAAGGGAAAATACTGCAAGGAAGAGAGAGACAGCGGACATCAGAAGGACGATAAACAAAACGGTAGAAGGATGAAAAGGAGAAGGGCAGAGAAGGCAGAGATGAGGAGAGACAACGCGAACATAGGGCATGGAACTAGGGAAAAAGGAAGACTGAGCACAAAGAGAAGGTTAAGAAGAAAGAGAAGGGAAAGGGAATAGGGAAGAGGAAAAGAAAGGAAAAGAAATGGGCGAAAAAAACAATCGCCAGGGAAACGGAAGGGAGAAACAAATTAAACGTCAAAGAAAAACACAAATTACACGTCAAAGGGCGTTGCCGCACGGCACACGAAACGAAAAACGAAACGAATGAATCTTCCCACAGAAAATGGCCAGGTTCATCGGTTTGCTATAAATGGTAACGAGTGTATTTTGCCACCTTTGTTGGCCAGATGCACTCGTTTCGTTTTCGTTTCGTGTGCCGTGCGGCGAGACCCAAAGAAAAACACAAATTATACCTCAAAGAAAAACACAAATTGATCAAAAAAAAAAAAAAAAAAAAACACAAATTGACACGATCGAGTTCAATTCACAGAATACGACGAGAAGATGGCAGAGTGGGAAGACAAGCCGCTGAGAAAACGAGCTACCGACACACAAAAGGCATATTAAAGGGCCGCCTCGCTCCAACTGCTATCCAAATGAGCAAAAAATGAGAACGAATCTTTCGCAAGAACATGGAAAGATTCAACGCCATTTTTTTTTTTGTCTTTTCTGCTTCTCGTGAGGAGTTTGGCGACACCCATAAGCAAAAGAGAAACAGAAGAGGCGCATGAAACAGTACTCTACTACCGTCTTGACCCGAGTAGAACGCACACCCGGGCCATTATCGCTACATCCGGACTGAAAGCTGGGCCCAAACGCAGCTACAACGACCGAGTATGCGTTCTATTCGGATGAAAACGGTAGGGTAAAATATACTTAAAAGTTAATACAACATACTATTTGGATGAAAACGGTAGGGTAAAATATACTCAATACAACATACTATTCGGATGAAAACGGTAGGGTAAAATATACTGGTAGGGTAAAATATACTTACTAGTAATACAACATACTATTCGAATGAAAACGGTAGGGTTAAAATACACTGGTAGGGTAAAAAATACTGGTAGGGTAAAATATACTTACTAGTAATACAACATACTATTCGGATGAAAACGGTACGGTAAAATATACTTACTAGTAATACAAAATACTATTCGGATGAAAACGGTAGGGTAAAATATACTTAATACCACATACTTGATAAATACTAATAAGAGACGTACTCAAAACTGGACACAAGTGCCCTCTACCAGCAGTAGAGGGCAGCGGCAAGGGGGGGGGTAGGGAGGGAAGGTGGCGGAAACGCGAGAAATGAATGGTAAGATGGGAATCGCTCCACTACTCTCGAAATGTGCAAAACGAGAGTGAATCTTTCGCTAGAACATGCAAAGATACACCCCAATGATTTTTGCCTTTTGTGCATCTCAAGAGTAGTGGAGCGAGGCCCCATGTCTACTGAACACAGATAAGAGATGAAGGAACAGATCGTAGTTTGCGAAAAACAGAGCGATGGAGGAACATGGAAGACGCACAAGATACGAGGAGGTCGATCAGATCATGAACTCAAATAAGCAAAAAAAAAAAAAAAAAAAGGGAGCAGCAGAGCAAACATGGAAGAGCAAGAGACGTGTTAGCAGCACGGGCTGGCTGCAACGAATTCCCAGACGTGTTATAGCAGCCAGCCCAAACAACAGGGCGCGGTACGCAAGCAAGAAACGAGCGGCGGTGGGACGAAGGGCGTCTGGGAGACAAGAGAAGTAGGGGCAAGATGGAAAAAAAAGAAAAAGAGAAATGCGTGAAGAGCTCCAGAATAGAGGGAGCCTCGTTTCACAAAAAAAAAAAACGTTGTTCTATGTTGTCGGTGACAAGCAACCGGACTGCGTGAAGACCTCCAGAATAGATGTGGTTCCTCGTTTCACAAAAAAAAAAAAAAAAAAAAAAAAAAAGCGTGAAGACAGGGAATACTGACGCGGAAGAACGAAGGGACATTAGAAAGAAAGAAAAAAAAAAAACGACCGAGGAGTAAAAAGGGAAGGGGAGAGGTGGGAGGGGCCGACGATGAGGTACATACTACCGTAGTAATTAAACCGATTTGACGATGGAGAGAGATGATGAGAAACTATGGATGGAAGAAGAGCGAGCAAATTGACGAAGACAGACGACGACGCGAGAAACCGAGAAAGGTCGGATGAGAGAGAGGAAGTGGGAGGGGAAGTGTTCAGTGGAAACAGTACAGGAACGAGAGAGGACAGAAAACAGATCATCGGAATGAAAGGTGGGAAGAAAGAGAGAACAGGCCGAGGAGGAGGAGGAGGAGAAGAGAAGAGGAGGACAGGAGAAAATGACGAAGGGGCAGAGAGGAAACCGAGGGCGACAAGGAAGAGGGGTCCAAAAAGAAGCGACGAGAGACCGGAGGAAACCTATACAAAATTGAGGGATATATAAAACGGAGGGGACGGTATAATAATACTACCGTCTTCCCCCGATCATAACGCACCCTAAAAATGAACGTATCCAAGCTACATTTCCGGCCAGATACAGCCAAAATAAGGGTGCGTTGTGTTCGGGGGAAGACGGTAGCAAGATGATCAATGCATAAGGGCTCCTGACATGACACGTGTCCAGGACTGAGGTGAAGAACGTCTGAAAAGACGGATGGACAGCTGCCGACGCCAGTGTGCAGACAGTCACACTCAGACTCAACTTGTAAGAGGGGCAACCTTCTTGGACCCAAGCATCCCTGATTTCATTGTCAAAAACCGGGTGGAGAAATCAACAGTCCCACTGCATTCTCTCGGAGAGAAGGGGGAGCGGGGAGAGACAGGCAGGCGGAATAGAAAAGGAAGAAGATGAAGGAAGAAGAAGAAAGAAGGGAAACGAATGATGAGGAGAGCGAGAAGAAGGGAGGGAGGGAGGGAGGAAAAGGGAGTACGCAGAGCAGACGAGGAAGAAGATGAAGGACGGAGAAGAAATTGAAGACAGCACACGAAAGAAGGGAAAAGAGACGATGGGAGCGAGAGCGAGAGCGAGAGCGAGAGCGAGAGGGAGGGAGGGAGCAAAAGCGCGGAAAACGGAGGAAAAGGGAGTACGAGTAAAAAGAACCCCGAGAAGGGAAAGGAGGTAGGAAAGGGAAGAAAGGAAGAAGAAAGATAGTAGAAACCAAAAGAAGGAAACGTGTGATCAAAAGGGAGGAAGAACAGACAAAAACTTGTGCAGCTCATCTTGAAACGGTGGACGAAGTAGAATGCATAGAACTCATCTTGGAACTGGAGAGAAGAATGCAAGAAGAGTGACGGAACGGAAGGAGAGGAGGGAGAGGAGGGAGAGGAGGGAGAGGAGGGAGAGGAGGGAGAGGAGGAAAGCAAGCAAAGCGAGCAGGGGCCGCACAAGGACGATGCGAGAAGAGGGAGGAGGACGAAAAGCGAGGAGACGAAAGCAAGAAGACAGACAGCAAGGAAATGTATGATCGAAAGAGAGGAAGAGCAAAAAGAACTTACGCAACACATCAAAAGGGAGGCAAGGCAAGGAAAATGAATACAAGGGAAGAAATTGAAGGCTGGAGGGAGGGGAGGGAGGGGAGGGAGGAGAGCGGGCAACGGAAGCAATAACTCACATTCTTCTCGCAGCGCGTCTGAATCAAGTTATACAACTCCACAGGCTTACAATACACCCTTAAGCTGGCTTCTGCCTCATCCTGCGTAGGCAATCGAGGTTGACTGCTGTCATTCTCTCCCCCGCCATCACATCGACCACCTACCGATCCCAGAGGTATCGCCTTCGTTCTCCCCTCTTCACTATCCACCGCCGGCGGACTTGATCCTCCTCCTCCTCCGCCTCCTCGTCCCCGCCCTCCGACAGTTCCTCTGCCGCCCCCCCTCCCGCTCCCTTTCCCTCCTCCTCCCACCCCAGCAGGCCCACTCCCGCCAACCCCATCCCCACCTCCCCCTCCGCCAGAGACTGCCGTTCCCACACCATGACCCCCTACTTTCACACCGCGGCACCGCGCAGCCATCGCCGGCAGCGTCGTCTTGCACATTATACCTTTGCTCCCCCCCCTTCCATCATTCTCTCCAGCCTGGGCTTTACCACCCCGCCACTCCAGCTGCTGTTCTTTAATGTTCTCCGTTTTGCCGTCCTACGCACAAGTGACGAGTACTTGTGTGTACTTATCCTCTCCTCTCTCCTCCCCACTTGCCAAACCCTCTCTTGCTCTCACTCGTCAATTCCCCCCCACCCATCAACCCTTTTCCTCTCGCTTGCCAGCTGAAGCGCGCGCTCTTCTTCCTTGGTTAGTAGTGAATTTTCCAAATAGCATTTCCGCGTCTCACCTTGTGTCTCAAATTTCGCACATTGTGGAAAGCAGCCCTCAATTCCGTTATCCAGATCGATCAAACAAGGATAGAAACATCGTTCGGCGTCAAAATCATCCCCGCGAATCATTGCGTAAGCTCGCCCAATTCCATCCTCTCTTCCTGAGCAGCCTGCGAAGCAGTGCAAACGAACACATGTAGAGAACAGAGCACAAGTAGAGAGCCGAGCATAGGTAGAAGCAGAAGGTGAGGGGGAAGCACGAGTGCAAAGGAGTGCGATAACTGCTGCCCTGCTCGCCGTTGATTATGTCGAGGGGGCAAAATCCAAGGTAGAGAATACCTCCAAGGTAGATAACTGCTGGCCCTTACGATACGATCAGAGCTGGCGGCTATCTGGCGACGGCAACCTACCGCCTTGCGGAACAAGCTGCTGGGGACGGGATCAGTATGTACATACGTAAAATCCTCTCTCACCGTCGAAAACACTCATCTTCCCTCCGTGGCCACGTGGCAAACACTCATCAATAGGACTGAAGCAGGTCCATCATTGGCGGATCGATCAGACAGAATGGAGCCGCCGAAGAGGCCTCCTCCCCTCCCCTCCCCTCCCCTCCCTGCGCGCCCGCCCGCCCCGCGCCCCCCGCCGCGCTCTTCTTTTCGCTCATATAACCACTCCCCCTTTCCACGGATCTGCTACGTTGTATCAGGTGGTTCTACCGTAGTATTTTCTGCCAAAGCAATTCGATATCACCTCGGCGGTTAGGGATTCATGCAGACATAGCCATCGGCATCCCCAATGCTTCAACTGCTGAGCAAGCTCGCACGTGGCGGCGGCACCATATCAGTGATATCACAGCCCCGCGCTGGCGGGGTGCTTTGCACCCCCGGATTGCATCTTGCTCCCCGCCACTAAACGGATCCCAATCAACGGCTGAGAACAACACGTCATCATCGTTTCACGTCAAGACTGGACACGTGTCAACCGGACCAGCAGCTGGCGTACGGCGGGAAATGAAAGGAAAGAACCACCCCTTCACCACATCAACCCCCCCGCAATTAGGGGCCGCACGAAAACCTCGGCCCGCCACGTGGTTGGAAAATTTCCCGCTTGGTTCCGCCGTGGGCACGCTGGCAGGGACAAACTAAGGACACCACCACGGCCAATCCGCTTCCCCTTCCCCTTCCCCTTCCCCCCTCCCCCGCCCCCACCACCCTTCCCGCACCTCGACCCAAGTGGGGAGAAAGAGAGGGTTTGTCGCTACGCACCCCATTCAAGCCCCACGTCCGCCCACCGTGGATTTCGTAGGCTCCCCACTGCTGTCTCTTATACACATCTAGATGTGTATAAGAGACAGAGGGAAGGGAGGGGGACTCGGAGAGCGAGGGAATTAAGGAGCACTACAGGGAAATATAAATAGGGAAAGGTAGATGGGCAAGCAGAGAGAGAAGGGAGAAGGAGGTGATGAGAACAAGACAGGGAAGGGCAAACAGGCAAGATGAGCAGACCGACGGGGAAGAGGCGAAAACGAGAGCCAAAAAACAGGAAAAAGGGGCGGCGAAGGCACAGAGAAAAAAAAGGGGAGGGAAAAAGGGAGGGCAGAAAATGAATCCGAAACGGGGAGAGACTGGCAGGAGAAAAAGGGGGGAGAGAAGGGGAGAGAGGGGGAGAGAGAAAAGGRGGGGGGGGGGRGGGGTCGTCGAAGGATACACAGGGGTAGAAAGGAGTAGAAGTAAAGAACAGAGAATGCGGGAATCGATGAAAAGAGCATAGGACCGATCTGAGAACGACGAGTAGAAACAAAGGGGAACGAAAATCCAGAGAGAAAGACGGATGAGAAAGAGGGATAAGAAAGACTGAATAAAAGGGTGACCCAAGAGCTAAGCGAAGGCGGAACGAGGGAGCAAAAGAGACGGGGGAGAGAGGTAGGAAGAAGACAAGAGCGGAATGAGCGGACGGAGAGAAAGGAAGAGAGAGGGAGAAGGATTGAAAGAGAAAAGGAGTGAGGAGAGCAGAAAGGGCAGAAGGAAATGAGAAGAGGGAAGGGAACAAGAAAACAGCGGCAGCAGCGATTGGAAAGAACAAGGGGCAAAGAAGAGGAAAAGGGGATACCAGGAGAGGAAAACGAAAGACAAGAAGGGAGGGGGAGAGGAGAGGGAAGAGGAGAAAAGCAGAAGGGGAAATCCGGGAAGAAAAGAAAGGAAGGAGAGAGAGAAAAAAAGGAGAGCCACCGGGAACAACAAGAGAGTATAAGAGAAAAACATAAACGAGTTACAAAAAGAAAAGGCATGCAACAGTGGAAACCAAGAAAAGGAAGAAGGAGAAGGGGGGGACGAGCCAAGAGAGAGTGTGAGAAAACGAGCGAAAGACCGTCACAAAGAGCGTTAGACCAAGCAAAAAATTGGAGGGGAAGCCACGCAATAGGAAAAAAAAAAAAAAATCCTACTAGACCCTTTTTCCTTCCCCCCTACTGGCGAAGTAGCCGGTGCTTTCCTATTACCAGGCCTCTTACGAGTTAGGCAGGTACTATAGGTCCTCTTGATTTCCAGTAAAAAGTTAATTCGAGTGGATTTAAGGGGGGTGAGGGAAGGGAGGCTGAGGCGCAAAATTTCCAGTGAGGAAGGGGAGGGAAGAAAGAGGACTGGAGGAGGTGACAAAAAAGTGTGTTAAAAAAAAAAAAAAAAAAAAAAAAAANGGGGACTACTCTAGAGAAAGAGAGAGAGAGAGTTTTGTTCCCTTTGTTGATACAAGAGAGAGAGAGAGAGAGAGAGAGAGACTGAATGGCAAAATTGAAATATGGGTCAAATTGCGGCCGCGATCTATTTTGCAGTTGGCATGATTTTTTAAATTTTATTTAGCGTTTTTCTTGGAAAGATCACAACAAAATCTATGAGTACTCCGATTTTCAGGTTTTTTCACGCATTCTTCTGAGCGTGAAAGCTCACTGAATTTGGAGTACTTTTTTAGTTGGCCCAGGCATGGCTGAGTGGCAAAAATGAAAAATGTGCCAAATCGGCGCAGCAGAGTATTTCGCAGTGTAAATGATTTTTTGTARATGTTCTATTATTATTTCTGGAAAGAACACGACCTCATCTATGGATTCTCAAAATTTCAGATTTTTGCGCATGTTCGTCCGAGCACAAAAAATCGTCAAAGTTGCCTCTTGCAAAACGCCTATTTCGTTGTGCCTGACCTCCCTGTTTTGAGAAGACGGGGCTCAATGCCTGGGCCTAAGGGCCCTTTTGCAGTTCACATGCCCGCACTTCTTTTTGCGGTCCGCTTCTACCCGGGGACCGGTGCAACGCCCCCCACTTATTTTTGGGGTCCACTTCCACCCGAGGACCGGTCCTTCCTTTTTCCAAAACTCCCGGTTTTAAAAGAGTTAGTTGTAGGTAGTCCACAATTTTGCCAAGGACCGGTCCCAGAAAACATTTGTCCCCTAAGAACCCACTTTGTGGTAACTTCCTATAACGGAAAGGTGCAGGTGAGACCGAGCCCCCGGTTGGGTCGGTCATTCTTCAGCTTCTGTTTGGCAAGTTGTAAGGCGCAAATATGGGTCTCGCTCCACTACTCTTCACATCCACAAAAGACAAAAAACGTGGCAATGTATCTTTCGTGTTCTGCCGGAAGATTCAGTCTTCATTTTGCACATTCGGAGAGTGGTGGAGTGAGACCATACTCTTTCCTTCTTTTTTGGGACCTTCCCTGGTCCTTGCACAGCCAGGATGCCCTGGAAAAGAGAGTGATCCGAGCGGCCCCGATGGTAACCTAGTCCAATTCTAAAATTTTTAGTTTTATTTGATGTATTTCTGTTTAAAATATTTTTTCCCCCCTTCGAAATACATTTATTTGTTAAAGATGGAATGAAAGTTTGGACTAATCTATGAATTATCTTGATTAGACTTTCATTTTACTATGACGAATAACTTCAAATTTATATTGGATTAACTCTATTTTTTATTGAAAATCCTTATAATAGAATAATATTTCATTTGAAATCATTTCATCTCCAACATGCAGTTCAAACTATAATGAAAGTTTCCAAGTAGGACGAAAAATTTTAAAAGTGGAATGATTATTTTTTTAAATGGAATGATTACTTTAATCATATAATGATTGTGTATTATGGAGTGATTTGTTAATTCTATATTTTTTTTCATTCGTAAGGATATAACCACACTAGGATATTTTCTACCAAACTCATAACTAGATGGCAATGAGATTCACCCTGACATGGTTGTAAGAGGAGCTAGATATATTTATTGTCTACCACGTGGGCGCGGGGAACGCAGCCCTAAGGTAGCCAAATCAATGAGACTAAGAGCTAACACGAGAGAGAGAGAGAGAGAAAGAGAGAGAGAGAGAGTTTTGTTTCATTTATTGTTATGAGTGTGAGAAAGAAAAAAAAATAGAGAGAGAGGGAGGGGGGGGGCTACCAGCGAAAGAGAGAGAGAGAGAGTTTTGTTCTATTTTTTTATAAGAGAGAGAGAGAAAGAAAGATAAACACATGCAAATGTAGACAAAACGTGCAAGGTTTTACTTTCACAGCATACACGTAATGTCCATAGCATGCGAGACCAGTCGCGATTACCCTTTTACGTCACTGCTCAGGTAATCATTTCAGCCACTATCCTCAGTATTTATAACCTTCGTTCCCAGTCCTTCTTCGCCACTTTCCCTATCCTTGCAGTGTACTATCATCTATCCTCAGGATCTCCCGCAATCGCTCTTTGTGTTGTCTTTGTCATCGTCGATTTCCAACATGCCTTCAATCTGGAGCTACTTTCATCATATCTTATGATTCTGTTCGCTGATTGATTTCGTCACCCTTGTTTCCAGATATGTTCATTCTGTGTTCGTGTTGTCTGATCTGATTTTAAGTTTTAGAGATTGGTGGTAGCATGTTTGAAAATAATTAAGACATTCCAACTCTTTCGTTTGATCTTCCTTACTTGCTATTATGATCATCATTACATCGTCCACAAAAATCATACCGTGGATAAGTTTCTTATCAATTCCGGTCTGCGCACACCATCTGTATTCGTCGAACGCACATATCATGTTGCCAGTGGGTGGGCTAGAGCCCTTCCCCATTGGTATCCCCATTACTTGGCATAATAATGGTCCTTGTACTTTGAAGTTTGAAGTATGCGTGTTTGATGTCATAGTACAACAGATTCATTAGACACTCAATCTTCAATGTTCTCCATCCGTAGGTTCCGTTTGCTTTTCCAAAGTTCATGTACTTTCCTCTCATCTTGTAACAGAAGTGGGTTTTCCGTTTTTCTTTCGCCGTTTTCATCATTCATTGCATGACATTTAAGATATGTGTGTGATCGAGATTCAAAAATATATCTTTGACGTCGTATGTCGAGCAGATTATCGTAGCCATATCCCCGTACGTTTCTTTTGCTACT